GGGGCCTTCTCGGTTTGCGGCCTGGACCGGGTGCCGCGCGGGCGGCCCTGCCTCGCCCCAGGTAACCGGAGCTGGACTCGGGGATGGCCCTGGTTTTGTGCACCCAGAGGGCAGGGCCGGGTCGTCCCTCCTCCGCGCCTTTGCCAGTTGCCGGTTCCCCGCCTCGGGACCCTCCTACCTGTTCCAGCCCCAACCAGGCGTCACCCAAGCTCACCTGACCATAAGCATCGCCTGCAGCCGGATTTTTTTTAAATGCAGGTTCCTGGGAAATTACCCCCCCCTCCTCCCCCCACACACACATTTTACCAGCTGTCCCTAGTAAACTCCCAGCCTTTGTATTTGCAACAAGCTCCTCGCCGTAGGCGATCCGCCCCCCACATCAAGTTTTGGGAAATACTATACTAGGAAACATGTTTATCCCTAAGGTCTCGAAGCCCTCCCGGACCCCTAGGAATGTGGACCCTCACTTGCACCTCTCCTTCATGGAACTACCTTAGTCTGTGGGTCACTAAAGTTTGCCTCTGTTTAAACCAGTGGTGCCCAAACCAGCGAATGCATCAGGCTCACCCCAGTGCTGGTGAAAACTCGCGACTGGGCTCCACCCTCATGCTTTGTGTCTGCAGGTCTGGGTGGGCTGAGATTTGCGTTTCTGACCAGCTCCGAGGTGGTGTAGTACTGCTGGGCTGAGGGTCAGTCACACTTTGAGAACCACTGGGCCAGGCTGCTAAGGGAGAGATCAGGACTGTGCCTTTCTGACAGCTGTATCTTTAGCATTAGGTTGAATTCCTCCCCGGCTCTGCCCCTTTCCAGCTGAGCTGCCTGGAGCACTTAATCCTAATCTTTCTGGACGTGTCTGTCAAAAGGGCTCATAATTTCTGCCCATTATGTAGGTTCAATACATAAAAGGCCTTCACACAGCTCCTGGCTCATAGTGAGGGTTCAAAAAATTGTGTCCATTGGGCCTTACTATAACATACTCCTGTTTCGTTCTTGCCCTAGCCCCTGCCCCGTTGCTCAGCCTCCCTCCCTCTCTGCCCTCTGTTGCAGCATTAGTCTGGCATAGGGTCTGTAAACTACAGGCTTGCCTCCTCTCTTCATATGATCAAGAAACTAAAAATGGTCTTTATATTTTCATATGGTTGAAAAAATCAAAAGAAGAGTAATATTTTATAACGTGAAAAGTGTATGAAATTCAGGTATCAGTATCTTTATAAGTAAAGTTTTATCGCGGTGCATTCATTTACTTAATATCAAGGCTGTTTTTATATTACAACTACAGACTCAAGTAGTTGGGATAGACACCCTGTTGCCTGCAAAGCCTGAAATATTTTACTATCTGACCCTTAACAGAAAAAGTTTGCTGACCCTTGGCCTAGCATGTAACCTAAGCTGCTTCGTGTCTCCCATGTCTGGTCCCAGCCCTGGCATGAGGTACCACTAGGTACCTGAGCATTTTAACTGATGGGCATTGGTGAACCTGTCTCACCCACTGCCTGAATGCCTGCAGGTAGGGGCCATGCCATTGCATCTTGTTAATTAATACCAAGTCTTGATTGACAGCCTAGTTACTGCCTTCAAGTAGGAAGCCAGGAACGTAAACAGGCCACTCAAATAAAAAGTAATATCTAAGCTTCAGCACAGGTTGCCAGGGGACCAGAGGAGCGGCAGATGGTCCAGGCCTATAGGGTCAGGGAAGGCTTACTGGAGGAGGTGGCCCTGAAGGATGTGTTGGAGTTACCTGTAGGGACCAACCTTCCCAGGTTGCCTAGGACTGAGGGGGTCCTGGGCTGTGGGACTTTGAGTTTTAGAACCAGAACAGTTGGTCACTGCGTCCATCTGAGCAGGAGATTGTCCAGGTCTATGGAACAGCATGTGCAAAGGCTTGGAGGTGAGAGAGCACCCCATGCCCTTGGGGAATCGGAGGCAGAATGTGGAGCAGCAGTGAAAGGTGGGAGGGCTCCCATCCTGCTGAGCTGTTTGTGGAAGGACGTGCCTGTCTCAAGGTGGCCTTTAGCTATGTTCATCTTATCAGTGCTGTACCCCCACTGCTTTCTTCTCTGGAACAGCCAGCAGTTTGTTTCCATAAATGTCCAGCTGCTGCATATGCAGAACTGAGTCAGAACTCCCCAGTCTGCAGGGCAAGAGGGGAGAAACAGTGACCAAGACTGCATTGCGATCAGAGGGTTCCAGGGCAGGAGCTGCATTTGAGAAAGGTCGCTGACACAGTGCAATAGGGATGGTTGTGAAGAGAAAGCAGCTGGAAGCAGACCAGCTGGAGGCCATTGAAATGGCCAGAGGATGAAGGCCTGACCAAAGGCAGGGGAAGAGGAGACGGTGGGGAGACACTGGAGGAGAAGGAATGGGTAGAATGAACAGAACTAGTAACCAGGTTGTCTGATCTTGGGGAGGAAAACACCCATGCCTTTGAGCTCATCCCTCTAGTTGTGGGTGTCTTCATAGTGGGTCTTTTGTTAGCCTCTCCTGGTTGGGATCTCCTTGGGCTTGTTCTTTCTTTCCTGGGTCTTTAGTCATTCTTATTTTGAGGGTTCGGTCTCTACCAGCACTTTAGGGCCGTTCACAGAGAGTATGGCAAGTGTATTTTTAGAACTAGCCTCTGTCACCGAGGAACCCTTCATTACTTGCTTCAGTAGAATCTGGAGATGAGTTCAGAGAAAACCTAAATACATCCTTGCAGGAGATGAAAACCAGAGGGTCAGGTGTCAGCTTGCCTGCGTCCTTCAGTCAGAGCCCTGGGGCCTGTGTACAAACTCTGCCCTGCTGTTGGAAGCATTGTGATTAAAGTGGCCTCGAAGGGGCATGCATTGGGGGCTGGCAGTGTGCCTGCCCTTCCTGCTGTGTTTGGGGTTTTTTACACAATTGAGTTTTGTGTGGTTAAGACCTGCCAAGTTTTGCTTTCAAGGAGAGCCACTTCCCCACAGGAATGGGAAGAGAGTCGCAGTTAATATGCCATTAGATCATCTGGATGGCAGCTTGCCCTCTTGTTGATTTGCTTATGTGTACCCAGCCGGTTGTCCGGATAAAACAGGAGGTGGCAGGGATTGGTCCTGGGCAGTTGGAACAACGGGGCAGCACTGGATGGGGGTGGAGGGGTGCTGTAGCTTGCCCACCTCTTTTGGCAACATGGAAGGAAAATTGGATTTGCTTTGGGGCTGTTAGAGGGTGTCTTTGCAAAAAGAGGACTGGTCCCATGTACCGAGACTAGTCACATACTCTGTGGCATTGAGCAAGGAACAAGGACAAGAGAAAAGCTTGGGTTTTCTGCCCCTTCCTGAGAGCAGTCTGTCTAATTATTACTCACGCTCTGATGTGAGTCTCTTGCATTCCTTGGGCACGATTGTTTTGTGCAAGATGGTAGCTTGCTGGGCTTTTTTTTTTTTTAACATTTGAAAACCAGAAACCAAAGAAGATACAGATGTCATGCTCCTGGTTCAGTGTTGAACTTAGTGTGTATATATATATATATATATATATATATATATATATATATATA